TCTTGAAAATCCTTAAGAGCAGGTTTAGGTAGAAGTGGGAGAAATTTCAGGTCTAAGGGAAAAGACCTACATGCTAAGATTCTTCTGATATAAATGCAAAAGAGAAATTTTGGTATGAAAAAAATAAAAACACTTTGCTTATGAGGATGCTTCTGTTTAATCTGTGTATCGAAACCATGTACACATTAGTATTTTCATTTGAAATCAACATAAATTTTACACGCTTTCAATAGCAAAATATTCTCAAGGGTCATTCTTTGAAATGGGGGAGAAGTACAAAATTCCCTAATAGTTGCTGCCCTCTCATGGACAAACACTTGAATGATTTATCTGATGAAGGTATGCCCAACCTTTTTTGTGTGTGTGTATGCATGTGCTCAAGTGCACACATGTGTGTTTAACTCACAACTTACTGAATGTTAGCTATCACACAAACAAAATCTGTTTTATCAAGTGTTCGTGTGATCGTAAAAAAAAAAATTGTTGAATTCACCATTGAGCAAATTTGGTGTGGGCCCAGAAAACAGGTTGTGAAATGGCANTCTGGGAGTTTGTGATGGACAGGGAGGCCTGGCGTGCTGAGGTTCATGGGGTCGCAAAGAGTCAGACATGACTGAGCGACTGAACTGAACTGAATTAGTGTTAACCTATGCACTGACATTCACTATTACAATTTAAAAAGTGAATATATGTTACACATTTAGCTTAGAATTGCACTTGTGTCAATTTAACCAACATGGAAAAAAAATAGAAATAGTTCATGCTTAAAATTACTTTTACATTAATATAAAGCCCTACTGAACTGTCATGTTATTTTTTGGCATATTTTAAAGGAATGTGTTAGGTTCTACCAATATAAAAACAGTGACAGTGTTTCATACTCAAATTCAATTAAAATGCTAAATCTTCTATCTTTTATAAAAAGATATATTTAGAAATGTCCTATAGTTTAGTTACTGAGCAAAATTCTTAACTGGGCCATCATCAAAATTCCTTAAATCCTCAATTTCTGAATAGCTTTTTCCCCTTCTTACTGTAACTGAAACCTAGCTCTCCCCTGAGACCATTGCTTCTGTTCCCTGCAGTCTTCCTCAAGGGTGGTGATAGGTTGTTTTTTCCCCAGAGCCCTCAAGTGACTAGGTGGTCAGGTGTGAGACGTGTTCTCCATGCTCCTCCTTGCCCTGTCTGAGAATATTCTAGCTCCCTGCTTGGAAAACTCCACAGCTTTAGCGCTCCTGCCACCAGTGCATTCACTGACTCTCATTGTTCTAGTGACCTTTGCACGCCAGCACACTCACTTTCACTCTGGATGGTTCAGCTCCCGCTTCAGTGTCACTGTCTTCAATGCTGCCTACGAATGGCGGTGCTAGCAGTAAAGAACCCACCTGCCAATGCAGGAGACTTAAAGCGACACAGATCCGACTCCTGGGTTGGGAAGATGCCCTGGAGAATGGCATGGCAACCCACTCCAGGGTACCTATCTGGAGAATCCTTTGGACAGAGGGGCCTGGAGGGCTATAGTCCACAGAGTTGCAAAAAGTAGGACACAGCTGAAGTGACTAAGCACGTATACACGCCATATGGATTTGTGGTGATTTTTATATTCCTAGAGATCATCCTTAAACCACTCCAAGCTCTCCTTAAATAATCTAGTCCCACACTAGATCTCAGTCACTCCTTCACCATTATAACAGACATCCCTATTAGCAGTAACTGTAAATCCTCCATTATCTCAATTCCATGCAGCTGTCTCTGCTCACCCTTTCTGTCTCCTGATCACTGCTCTAGAAGTCAAAACAAACTGATCTTACCACTACTTTTGTTCGGTTCCTCACCACTGAATGTCCACTCTTCATCCAGCCTCAGTGACCCTGCCAGTAATAATCACTGCTTTACATTAAGTTGAAGGGAGTTGGAGAAAAATACAAATCCATTCTGATATCACTTTGTTCATTACCACACTTCAAATGAGCCCTAAATGGTGTTCAGCACCTGACTTAATTTCAGTAGCACAGTCACTCTCTACTTTTTGAGAGGAATATTTACATTTTTCCTTTCCAATTGATGGTACTACTTCTCATTAAACTGGAAAAACTAATCATTCAGAAGACATTTGCCACATACACCCACCAACACAACCACATATTTACAGCATCTACACCCATAGATTCTGCCTTATAAACTGTTATAAAGGATAAACCATCTGGATTTTTATCTCAAACTAATCCCTACATTTTCTACCTAAACAAAGACATCTTTCCAATAATTCTTGCCTTTCTTATATCATTGACTTAGTCTTTTTTCTTTATTCCCATCAGCAAGCAAACATGCTTCATTTGTTCCCTCTGAAAGGAAAACCTGTTAACTCTGCTCACCCCCCACCCCTCTACCCACTTCCATTCACTGCTTCACTTTGCAGCAAAATTCAAGAGTTGTCTATTACCCACTGCTTCAATGGTCTTCTCTTGCTCTCTCTTCAATCATGCATTCACCCCACATACTCCATCACAACTGCTCTAGTTAAGATGGCTAATGACTTCCACATTGCTAAAGTCAATAATTAGTAGATACATCTCAACTTTTTATCCTCACAGATGAAAGAGTACCTTGTCAAAATTCTGGAAAATGATACCACATAGAAGAGGTGTGTCTGGGTATCCATGTATGTCTGTGTATTGAACAGGGACGGGAGAAAAGGACTATCATATTTTTAGATCTGAAAACATTTCAGAACTTTAGGAGCCTAAATACTATATATTGTCACCCTGCTTATTTAACTTATATGCACAGTACATCATGCAAAATGCTGGGCTGGATGAAGCACAAGCTGGAATCAAGACTGTTGGGAGAAATATCAATAACCTCAGATATGCAGATGACACCACCCTTATGACAGAAAGTGAAGAGGAACTAAAGAGCCTCTTGATAGAGTGAAAGAAGAGAGTGAAAAAGCTCACTTAAAACTCAACCTTAAAAAAACTAAGATCATGGCATCCAGTCCCATCACTTTATGGCAAATATATAGGAAAACAATGGAAAAAGTGACAGACTTTATTTTCTTGGGCTCCAAAATCACTGCAGATGGTGACTGCAGCCATGAAATTAAAAGACGCTTACTCCTTGGAAGAAAAGCTAAGACAAACCTAGACGGCATATTGAAAAGCAGAACTTTGCCAAGAAAGGTCCATCTAGTCAAGGCTATGCTTTTTCCAGTAGTCATGTATGGATGTGAGAGTTGGACCGTAAAGAAAGCTGAGGGTCGAAGAACTTTGAACTGTGGTGTTGGAAAGACTCTTGAGAGTCCCTTAGACTACAAGGAGATCCAACCAGTCCATCCTAAAGGAAATCAGTCCTGAATATTCATTGGAAGGACTGATAATGAAGCTCAAGCTCCAATAGTTTGGCCACCTGATGCTGGGAAAGATTGAAGAAGGGGGGACAAGGGGACGACAGAGGATGAGATGTTTGGATGGCATCACTTACTCAATGGACATGAGTTTGAGTAAACTCATGAGTTGGTGATGGACAGGGAGGCCTGGCATGCTCCAGTCCATGGGATCACAAAGAGTCAGACACAACTGAGTGACTGAACTGAACTGAAGGTACTCAGGGATGAGAAATAAAGGTTACCCATGTGATTCATATAGATTCCTAGAAATTTCAAAATGATTAATTTGGACCTTTGTCTATTTTTCCATTCCTTCAAATAAATGGCAATATGTGCATTTATGTTATTTCATTACTAGTTGAAATAAATTTCTTTTGTTGAATCATAGAATCTTGGATTAAGAATTATAGAGCTTACTTAACTTCCACTAGCATAGTTTCTGAAGTCCTCAAAATATGATAAGTAGATGTCCAGCTCTTGCTTCTTCATAAAGATGTCACCTCACTACACTATAAAGTTGCTCATATTATTTTTAGAGATCACCAATTATTTGAAATGGCTTCTTTGTTCTAAGCAGAAATCTGATTTAGTATAGCTGGAGCCCATTTTTCTTCATAAATACATTTGCAATCAGAGCAAGTCAAGGTCCTCCTGATCAAATATTTGAAAAAATGTTATCTCCTCTAATGTTTCTTTTCTTGAGGGATTCTTTCATTCTTTCAGCCCTTTGTCATGAAATACAGAATGTGGACAATAGAGGATGAGATGTTTGGATGGCATCACTTACTCAATGGACATGAGTTTGAGTAAACTCATGAGTTGGTGATGGACAGGGAGGCCTGGCATGCTCCAGTCCATGGGATCACAAAGAGTCAGACACAACTGAGTGACTGAACTGAACTGAAGGTACTCAGGGATGAGAAATAAAGGTTACCCATGTGATTCATATAGATTCCTAGAAATTTCAAAATGATTAATTTGGACCTTTGTCTATTTTTCCATTCCTTCAAATAAATGGCAATATGTGCATTTATGTTATTTCATTACTAGTTGAAATAAATTTCTTTTGTTGAATCATAGAATCTTGGATTAAGAATTATAGAGCTTACTTAACTTCCACTAGCATAGTTTCTGAAGTCCTCAAAATATGATAAGTAGATGTCCAGCTCTTGCTTCTTCATAAAGATGTCACCTCACTACACTATAAAGTTGCTCATATTATTTTTAGAGATCACCAATTATTTGAAATGGCTTCTTTGTTCTAAGCAGAAATCTGATTTAGTATAGCTGGAGCCCATTTTTCTTCATAAATACATTTGCAATCAGAGCAAGTCAAGGTCCTCCTGATCAAATATTTGAAAAAATGTTATCTCCTCTAATGTTTCTTTTCTTGAGGGATTCTTTCATTCTTTCAGCCCTTCGTCATGAAATACAGAATGTGGACAAGGCTTTACCATCCTTATTTATGGCTTTAAACAAAAGGTTTTAAGAGTTTCAACATTGCTAAGGGTCTTTTAAAAACAGTCCGGTACTTTTAAAAAGTTTGAAAATAATAAAATATTTTATACGATTCTTACTCCAAAAGATAACCATAAAATTGATTAAGACTTACCTGATGGTCCATATAATTCAACTCTGTAACTAAATTTTCCTGTTACTACAGTTGGTGGGTCCCATGATATTGCAAAGGCCTTCCCTGTGATGTTGCTTGTTATACAGTTTCGTGGTGGTCCCTCAGGCACTGAAATTATTATAGAAAAAAAATGGATTAAAAGCACCTTACTAAATACATAAAATACAAAGTCAGAGAAAAAATAAAATATCACACAGCAAAGTATTTTTTCAACTTAAAGAAAAAATAGGCTATAATTGAAGAATGTGAATAAATGGTGGATCATTAAACTCCAAATTTGCAACCATTACTATTTTTACTTAATGTTGTACATGACTGCACAGGGTGTTTCATCCCTATGCAGTTCTTTGTACAGTTACGTGTCCTGAAGCATATATATTAATATGCATTGCACTCAACAAGCCCTGAGCATCTGGCTTGATAAACACTCTCCCTCTGTTGTACACGGGTGGAAGGGCCAAAGTAGTAACTCAACCTTTGGGATCTACTGGCAGTGATTTTGCTTTTTCTATCAACATCTGATTTGCTTCTGAGAGGAAATTTATAACCTATATTCTAATGTAATCTTGGTAACATAAAAATAATAATGATGTTTAAAAGTCTGTTTTTCATTTGTCACTGTTCAGTCACTTAGTCATATCTGACTCTTTGCAACCCCATGGACTGCACCACACCAGGCTTTCTTGTCCTTCACTATCTCCTGCAGTTTGCTCAAACTCATGTCCATTGAGGTCTGTTTTTCACATATGTATCTGCTGCTGCTGCTGCTAAGTCGCTTCAGTCGTGCCCGACTCTGTGTGACCCCATAGACGGCAGCCCACTGGGCTTCTGCCGTCCCTGGGATTCTCCAGGCAAGAACACTGGAGTGGCTTGCTATTTCCTTCTCCACATACATGTATCTAATATTTAAAAAATCTTTAATTGAAATAAAACATTCCAAATATTTTTTAAAACAAACTTGTCAACCAAATTTCACTTTGTGTGCCTCTCATGAAATTATTTCTTTTTTTCTTAATAAGAAGAAGTAAGGAGTATGGAAGAGGAAATGGTCTTTTTCTGAGATTTTTATTTAAGTCAAGGTAAAAAACCTTCACACTTCCGTGTAATGAAATGATAAGACCTAACACCTAAGTCATCAGGAAAACTTCTATGCTTTAGTGAAATTACCCTACCAGTAATAATGCCCAGTAACCTAAAAATTTTCCATCATAGCTGAAAGTCTGCTACTATGTATTTTGTCTTGCAGTGTGTAATACAGTGACATAACTGTCTCTCAGCTGGTAAGAATCCGCCTGCAATGCAGGAGACCCCAGTTCCACTCCTGGGTCAGGAAGATCCCCTCGAGAAAAGATAGGCTACCCACTCCAGTATCTTCAGCTTCTTTGGTGGCTGAGACGTTAAATAATCCACCCACAGTGTGGGAGACCTGGCTTGGATCCCTGGGTCGGGAAGATCCCCTGGAGGAGGGCATGGCAACCCACTCCAGTATTCTTGCCTGGAGAATCCCATGGACAGAGGAGCCTGGCGGGCTACAGTCCATGGGGTCACAGAGTTGGACACGACTGAGCGACTAAGCCCAGCACTGCCTACATAATATAATTAAATATGCAAATACTATACCTAGAAATATGTACTCTTAGAATTTAGTAGTAATAACATCTAATAATGCTCATTTAGTACTAACATCATCTCCACAATGAAGACGTCTCCATTCATCACATAAAGAAACTGCAGTACAGAGAAGATACAGGTAGGTAGGCATTTTCTAACTACTGATACTGATACTTTTTCTCTGATACTGAATGTTAATCACATGATATTCCTGCTACCGCAGGTGTTATCTCCACATCTGGTAACAGCAATATTAGCGAGAGAAGTCATCACCAGATGATAATGTAAAATGTAGACAAACAGAGGCAATTATTAAAAATTCCTGAGATCACAGAATGATGAGAGCTGATCTTAGGAGCATGGTTATTAGCTCAAGAATCTTTTCTTTCAAATCTCTTTTCTCCTTTTAGATGCTTATGTCAGTACCTTAAAAGAGTACTGAAATTGAAGATGCTCCAAATGGCATGCCTATTATCCATTATTAAGGAGAAAAAAGTTACTGAAAGAGAAGGAAGATCTTTAACAAAAAGATCTACATAAAAAAAAAAGAAAGATTATTCTGTGAATAATTTAACTTCTTTTCCTACAAAAAATAAAAAAGAAAGAAAAACCATACCTGATTCCGGTGTTCTGACAATCGTACTATCAATATAACCTGCTTCAGTTGTAACAGCAGAAACTTCAAAAAGATACGTCGTATAAGGTCTCAAACGTGTCACTACAAAACTGATAGGCTCTTTCCACACAGAGCTAATCTTACTCCGTGACAACGTGCTAGATGAATACGTTGTACGAGATGGAGGCGTGACTCTCCCCAGGGTTGGCGAAGGGCTGGTTGTACTCCATAAAAAAGATTCATTATTCTCCTAGTGAATAAAATAAGCATAAATGGGAAAATAATGTATCGCTTGGTAAAGATACGTGTAATTCATTTTTTTTTTAATTTATTTTTTTTTTCATTTTTTATTTATATTACAAATATTATTTTGTGCGTGTACTACTTGTTATAGCTACAGATAAATCTGCTAGATTTTAATTATACCCATTTATTATCTACAGATACATGGTTAATACCATTGTCCACAGTTTTAGAATAGAATATGCTTATTTATACCTTAATCTTTCTTATGAATAGGATTTCATGTGACTTTGAATAAAGGTTTAACTACAGCAAAATGATTAATAAAAATTGTTTAAAGCCACATTAAAAGCTTAAGAGCGAAAAAGATAAACTTTTTTTTCCTTTTGTGAAATTTCAAACATACATCACTGTCTTACTATTATGATCATTTCCCCCCATAAGTATTCAAAAGATAACACCAAAAGAACATGTGGGTGTATGTTTAAGTATATTAGAAATATGTCTAAATTAAAAATATTTGTGACTTCCATTAACTTAAAGCATTTAAAAGAAAAGTAATCTTGTTTGTCTTTTCATCATTAATTTTAAAAAAGCATAATTACAGTATTTCCAAGGATTTCACATCAGTGCTTAGAGTAGTAACAAATTCTTCACTAAAGATAATATACAACAAAACCAGTTTAATTCCACAAATTTAAACTTTACTATTTTGATCCCTTCCTCTCCTGTCACATGGAAGGATTATCTTTTTCCCAGTGATATCTTATGCTTTCCTGCTTTAAGGCTTATATCCTCCACCCTCACACAATCACCTACTTATTCCAAGGCCTATCACTAATGCTATGCCTATCAAGTCTTTCCAGAGCTCCCTAAGGGATTTTTTTATATCTCACTCTTGAATTCTCAAACTCTTCTCTTATTTTACCTTGACTATAGCCAAGTGTATATAATATGATACTGTAAGTAATCAAATAGCTAATGATCACTTTAGCAAAATATATAGTATCCAGATGCTGGGAGTTTCAAGATGTAATTTGCCGAAAATTTTTGAGACATAGAAAATATTCAATGAGACTTACATTACATTCTGGCAGCTTCCCAGTCAAAATGTCCTCTACTCTGATTGAAACATCCTTCACCACTATCCCACTTCTGGCATGTTTAACACTAATCTTGAAGCTGGTAATTTTGCCATTTGGTTGCCGAGGTAAATACCAAATCAGGTTTACTGCTGAATAGTTAAAGGCCTCGACAGTGAGATTCACCACTTTTCCTGGAGCTGGGGACATGTAAGTGATTGAAGGAGAAGAAAAATATTGTTATAAAACTTATAATGACATTTATATAAGTCGAGGATGTTACAATTCCCATGTTATATAAAATTAAATATGTAATACACTGGATAAAGTCTATTTGGGTAATATTTCTTAAAATATATACTTGGGTATACTTTTTAAACTGATTTTGCTTTAAATAACAAATTAGAAATTGGGCCCACAGACTTGTGTTTAAGAGGCAAATAAGCTTTTTTTCAGGATTAATAGGTCAATAAATCCATCAATAAGCTATTTCAAATAAGTCTGAAAGATATTCAGTCAGATTAATAGTTGTTTGTGGTTATACCAATTTGAATAATGACTATCTTACCATCTGATATACTTTGGAATTATGTAAATTCCTTAGATAATGAAGAAGTAGCAAATTCTTAGATAATGAAGAAGTGGCAAATTCAAACAATTATCCAACCATTTGCACAAAATCACATTTCTGGAGTATAAGTAAATAACCAGTGTCTAATATAAAGTGGATACCACCAATTGGTTGTGATTACTATATTTTAACCTTTATACACCCTCAAAATCAACTTTCATCAGAACTCATGATACCTTGTTATTAAATATTAGTAATCTGCATAAAGGCTATTTTAGTTGGGATGACCATTAATTCAAGGTTAACTGTAGGAAACTGACAAAGTAAATAATCAATGTCCTTTAGAATCCAGAACAACCATAACAAGTCACTGCCAAAAGAAAAAAAAAAAGACAAGATGTTTGAGATAAAACATGCCGAGTATTAAGAAATCAAATAACTAGAGTTTAGGTGTACACTGTAGAGAGGAATACCAAGATGTGATCTGAAAATGGAAGCCATATAAAGTATGTAAGAAAGTTAGCCCCTGGGAAGAGGAGGTGTATGTGAATGATATGAATTAAACAGTAGTAAATAAGAAACTTAACAACAGCTGCATTTTAACAAACAAACAAAAAAAAAACCAATTTGGGATGATGACTAATCATTAATAATGGATGACATAATGGATAGAAATTTTTTTCTTCAAGGGAATTTATCAACGGAATTAAAGCTTAAGAAGGACAATGACAATATGATAATTCTCTAATACTAAAGATTTAGCACTAAAATTTCTTTTGGGTAGATAAAATATAATAAAACAAAAAGTCTGTCAAATATTTAATGCTATAGAACTATAAGAACCAAAGCTTTTGCCATTAATATTAATCATTGTTTTAAATTTCTTTGTCTAAAATATGTAAATTTTGTAAAAATGCCTGAAGTTTATATTAATAGCAGACTGCATACAAGCTGGCACATTTCCAAATCTACTTTAGCAATCATGAGAATCTGCTCAAGTGTAGAAATATTTGAATTTATAAGGTAACCAAACTTTATAAATTCCAAAGTATGATTTCAAAATCTTTTAAAGCAAACAATATAATCAATAAAAATTAATTAAATCTGTTAAACAACATTTAGTGAAAAAGAGGTTTTCTTATTAACTTTACACTATTTTTGCCCCAGTAAAATCTATGTTTTCTTTTTTTGACTTGATGGTTTCTGAAGACTAATTCTGGCTCTTTTTTGTTGCTGACAGGTCTTGCTGTACTTTAAATATTCTAGTTTCCACCTCTGGATTTTTAGGTACCAAAATCCCATCATCTCTTGATTTTTATAGTGTGAATTTATCCATCTTGCTCCAAGTAAAGATATGATACTAAAGTATCAAAAAATTCTATTTATAAAGTCATATCATCTTACAGATAGGCCTTTCACACACTTTGAGGTCATAGATAAGCAAGTAAATATACAAGTATGTGAAACTAACTAAAAGTTTTCAAAATGTATGCTATACAAAATATACATTTTCTTGAACCAGAAAAAAATCTTTCTAAATAAAATATAGAGACTTCTATAAAGAATTTTCCTACATTACTAAGGATCCATCAAGTTAAAAATGAAGGTAAAAGGGATATTTCTAATATTTTAAAGCAAAAATAAATTCTACATTTGTCTGAAATAATGCTGCATGGGAAGTTAAAAAGTTGAGATTTTGTACTTGTGAATGTAATATCAGCTTAGAATGGTATAATGGGCTAACTGTATGAATACTTCAGGAGTATTTTTATTCATGGAGAGAGAAATTATTTCTGGCTTAATAATAATAAATGCAATTTTATTTATTCCACAGAAATTTTCATTAAATTTGAGTTCTGCATAACATAAATAATAAAAAGGAAGCTTTGGGGGGAAAAATTGGATGTAACTGATCTAGCTAAACTTAGGTTTACATTTTAACCTCAACATTTTTTAAAAATGATAAGGTAAGTGATTATGTGATTATGTAATTTCTCCAAGAAAACATAGCAAGTCAGAAACAGAATGAAACTCCCATTCCAGGATTATTTCCATGCCAACCTAGAGTGTTAGTTTATCCAAATCATAATTTGCCAAGAGAGAATAGCTATAGAAATTATGTCAGTTAGCAAAATATAAAATATATAAAGTTCAAAATGCTGTCAAGTTGAAATCATAATCTGAAATCATAATGTACCAGGCTTTACCAAGATGAGTGTTTTTAAAAAAGACCAAACTATTTGTAAAGAAATTAAAAAATTATTCCAAATATTTTCCCTAAAAGTGTAAGTCATAAATTGTCTTTCATATCCTAATGAATATTTAATCTTAAAAATAATAATTTTCTCAACTTTAATTGTGCTAATAATCTGAATATAAGTAGGTTCAATATCAGTAAAAGACTTCAAAAACCATTACTTTCTAATTTTAAATAAACTCTAGAATTTTCTCTTAATTCTTCCTATGGCATAGAGCATGTATTCACCTGCTTCTCTCAATGGGGTCTCAAATAAGAATTGGACATAAAGCTTGTCACATGTTTCTTTTAACACTGACAACTGAATAATCCTCTCGAGATACACAGGGCCCATTTCAGTTTATCCCGTTGGCAATGAACTGATGGAAGATTTTAATCTTTAAATATACAAAATATCTATAGTTATATAAAAGTATAGAACTTTCATGTATGACCTATATCAAATCCCTCATGATGATACAGTGGAAGTGAGAAATAGATTTAAGGGGCTAGATTTGATAGACAAAGTGCCTGATGAACTAAGGATGGAGGTTCATGACATTGTACAAGAGACAGGAATCAAGATCATCCCCAAGAAAAAGAAATGCAAAAAAGCTAACTGGCTGTCTGAGGAGGGCTTAAAAATAGCTGTGAAAAGAAGGGAAGTGAAAAGCAAAGGAGAAAAGGAAAGATACACCCATTTGAATGCAGAGTTCCAAAGCATAGCAAGGAGAGGTAAGAAAGCCTTCCTCAGTGATCAGTGCAAAGAAGTTGAGGGAAACAATAGAATGAGAAAGACTAGAGATCTCTTTGAGAAAATTAGAGATACCAAGGGAACATTTCATGCAAAGATGGGCTCCATAAAGGACAGAAATGGTATGGACCTAACAGAAGCAGAAGATATTAAGAAGAGGTGGCAAGAATACACAGAAGAACTGTACAAAAAAGATCTTCATGACCCAGATAATCATGATGGTGTGACCACTCACCTAGAGCCAGACATCCTGGAATGTGAAGTCCCGTGGGCCTTAGGAAGCATCACTACAAATAAAGCTAGTGGAGGTGATGGAATTCCAGTTGAGCTATTTCAAATCCTGAAAGATGATGCTGTGAAAGTGCTGCACTCAATATGTCAGCAAATTTGGAAAACTCAGCAGTGGCCACAAGACTGAAAAAGATCAGTTTTCATTCCAATCCCAAAGAAAGGCAATGCCAAAGAATGCTCAAACTACCGCACAATTGCATTCATCTCACACGCTAGTAAAGTAATGCTTAAAATTCTCCAAGCCAGGCTTAAGCCATACATGAACCGTGAATTTCCAGATGTTCAAGCTGGTTTTAGAAAAGG